CACCCCCCCGCGTGGCTGCACCGCTCCCATGGCAGCCTGAGCAGACTCCTGTCCTTAGCACCATCGTCTCAAATGACCCCGCTCCGGAAGCGCTAATGGGGACCTTCGCCAGCGTCCTGTTGCCCCAACCTTAACTTCTGTTTAGCCCCTTGGTGGGTTGTCTCTGGAGCCAGCCTCCTGGGCAACAGGGAGGTGACTTGGTACCTCCTCCCATTGAGAGGCGGCGCCTCTTCTTCCACTCCTAACTATCCTGGACTACCTCTACTGGTTCATCATCTTGCCATTGTCCGTAACCTTTCTCCCGTACCAGTCTGATCGTGCCACTGCTTGATCAGAAAATGGAGAACCCGTGGTTTTCCATGGCCCTGGGGAAGAAGTCCCTGTCCCTTCCTGTGACAGCCCGGAGCCTGGAGGGGCTGTTCCTGCTGATTCCCCACAGGGATGGCCCTGCCATCCACTGGTGCCTCTGTTTGGAGCCAGGTGAAACCTCTCTGCCTTTAGGCTATCTTTGGCTCACCTTTATCCCTTCCTTAGGAAGCAGTCTCTGACCCCAGTTCCTGCAACTGTCTCCACAGCTCCACCGAGCCACAGCCACTAGAGGGGCCCCGGGGCCTGGCATAAAGCGGGGCCCAGAAAGTACTTAGGGGTCGGCTGGCCGAAGGTCCCACTGTGCTGTGACTGACCCCAGCCATGAAGCGGCTTGCAGGCTGGGGACTAGCTCATGCAGCCCCGCCCCCTGCCTCTCACCAGTGTGGCACGTGAGCTGAGCCGCACTGGAACACTGCGGGACAGGAGAGGTTAGACAGAGCTGGGAGTTGAATCTACGATGTGCTCTGAAGTGGCCCCTCCCACATGGACACCAGGACAGGAAGAGTGAGCACAAACTGATCAGGGCCTAGAGTCACCTAAAGGTGCCGGCCAATCGAATGCATGGATTCCAGAGGCATTTCCCTCTGGAGCTGTGTATTAGTCTAGGTACTTTAGAGAAACAAATCCACAGCAACTCATGTAAAGAAAGTGTGCATCACGAAAACATCCCAACCCAATGCTACCCAAGCCCACAAGTCCAACATTAACCCATTTACCCAACACCAGTCCACAAAGTCCTCCACCTCACAAAACACAGGCAATGATGCCGACTGCAGGAGGAAAGCTGAGTCAATGAACGAACAAGCATCTCAGCACTAGCAGGGGTCTCTACACGGCTGCTCCAGCACCCAGGGCTGCATCAAGGTAGGTCCATGTGGCTTCTCCTTGGGGATGTCTTGTAGGAAGTTAATCTTGCAAGCTGAAGCAGAGAACTGCTAAGGCAGCTGCACTCTGGTGCGACCATCACAAAGCAAGAGACCCGAGAACTAAAAAGGCGAGGCTCACCACCCATTTATCCCTCCGCCTTTCAATTAGCCCCACATGTGATTATCGGCCAGGCTGGCACAATTAACTAACTCAAGCTGTTATGATGAAAACGTTATTGTAGATACTGCGGGACGGACGTCTTTGGTTGTCTCAACAAGTAGCCTTTGGCAAGCCCTTTTCTAATCAACTTTCTTTATTTGTATTTTGTAGCAATTTTTAACAGGAGGCTGTAAAACCTCCCTGGATTGCTCTTTCCAGGGACTCCGTCTGGATGCATCACTTTCACCTCTGAGTTCCAACTGCATAAATCTGGGCGGGTTTAAATCACATCTGGTGCTCAAATCCGTATACCTAGTTCTTGAATGCCCCCAAGGATGGAGAGCTCACTACTCAGTCTTACTATTTAGATCCCAATTCTGGACAAAGATTAGGAGACTCCCCTATGGACTGAGGTTCCTGTGGGTATAGATAGTTAAGTGTGTGACGACTTGCCAAAGGGCTGGTGATTTGAACCCACCTAGAGGCACCTCGGAAGACAGGCTTGGCTACCGGCTTGTGCGGTCACAGCCTTGACACTGAGGGGCACAGTGCCACCCCAGCACATGTGGGGGCGCCAGCAGTCAGCCTTCTATTGAGCGGAAATCGGTCTCTCTGGAACCTGGCCTTTGGGTGCGTTTTCCCTGGTGAACTCTCATTGCCTTTGCTCGTTTCCATATGCTAGCCCTTCAGCTTAGAAAAGGCGGATTGCCTCAGCCCGTCTCCCCTTCTTCCTGGATAAACCTTCTGGTTCTCATGGCTCTTCCTCACAGGGAGCGGTCTCCAGGCCTAGCCAGTGCTGCTTGTAATCTCCTTCAAGTGCAGACCAGATCACAGGCCCGTCCACCACAGCCGGGGGCTGCCAGTCAGAAGGACAGTGGCTTGTCCTCTCCCCTCTACTACTTCTGTTGTGGCCTGAGATCATTTAAAACTCACCATTCACACTGTTAGGTTAGGGGAAACTTGCCCCAATTAACCAAGCTCACAGATCTTCCACAGCTACTGGGACCTGAGGTGCAAGCACAGTAAGCTGCACTGCGCTTCGCTTCAGGTACGCTTCCCGGATGCTTCAGGTGTTCAAATCAAATCCTTTTCAAGTGCCCCCTTCTTGTCTCTGCGTCACACTGTGGTCATCCTCGCTGCATTTCATCTTATATATGCAGTATAGCTGGGGACAGCTCTGACAAAAGCCTGTGACTGTGCTGCCACCTTACAAGTTGGGCCGAGATCCACGTGGGTGGCAGTTTGACACCAGCAGCTCCTCGGGAGAAAGACTGGGCTTTCTACTCCCATAAACAGTTCAGGTCTCAGAAATGCATAGGGGTCGCTATGAGCCAGCACTGAGTCTGGCTTTCTGGGTTTGGTCCTACAGGTAAAGTCGCATGCAGCATCATTTCCCCAGCTGCTTCTTCACTGTGGCTCACAGGAAGCCAGGTGCACAGGTGCGGTTGACTGAGAAAACAGCAGCTGGGGAATGGAGGCACTTTTTAAGCAGCTTGCCTGGGAGAATGTGGGGAAGGAGCATGCCGAGGGCCTTCAGGCGACAGCCCCAGGAATAAGGACACGGAGCACACATCCAGTCTGACCCTCTTTCCCGTCCCCTTGCAGCTTTAGTCTCTGTCCCTTGGACAGACTGCAGTCTTGGAGGGCAAAGGCCAATTCCTCTGTCTACATGCTATATCTGGTGATGAGGGGCAGGGCAGCTACCACGACCGAGCTTGTTAACCTATTGTCAAAGTGGCACGCACTTTCCCAGGAGGGAACTTGAGGCAATGGGACAGGAGGGGGTCTTGGAGCCCTAGAGCCCCCTGGCCCTTGACTCCACACCAGTACAGTAAGTACCAGAGCCCTCCAGACAGCACCCCTGGAGATCAGGTATCTGTAAGCAGAGTCAAGAAGGAACACCATCTTTTATTCCACAACATGAAACAATTGCCCCAGCACCACTTACCAATGAGCCGGCAATAAAAACAGCGATCTGTAACAACACCGTTACAAATTAAACGCTAAGTGTGACCACAGGAGGACAAGGCAGGCCCAGCAGGAGCAAAGGGGAGCACAGGGCCTGGCTTTCACCCTGGCTCTGGAGGGGGGCAAGGTACCCATCTCAGCAGGTGAGCAGAGACCGGTGATAGTCCGGCTAGAATGCTGCAGAGCCGGCTCATGCCAGGACCAGGTTCTGAAGTGACACTACACAATGGATCCTGGATCCTGGGCCCAGGCTGCTGGGCTGACAGCTCTGTCCCACAAGGCCATGCTGTACCCAGTGCTGCCAAGCCCTTAGATGCAGCTGCATACTTGGGACACCTGCGAGGGGACCAGTCTCAATGGCCGGCTGCCTGGGGCACGCTGTCCACTTGAGGTCCTCTGGTGAAGGCGCAGAGAGGGCTCAGCACTTCACAAACTGGTGTGTGACCTCGTAGATTCCCACCGACTCCTGAGCCTTCTCATCATAGTCCGTCCAGTCCTGGGAGAGGAAATGGCAGGCTCGGTCAGTGTTCGGGGTGCAGAACTGGCCGAGAAAGGCCCCTGAGGGGCCCTGACGGCCACAGTCTTCAACATGTGACCCTGACACTGAGCTAGACAGCTCAGGGCTAAACCCAGCTCTTCCAGCATTGAGACTTTGGGAAAATCATTGAACGCCTCTAGGCCTCAGTTTTACACACAGCTCAGCATAGTGTCTGTGCTAAGCACGTTCACATTCCTGCCATTCCTCCGTGGCCAGAGCAGGAACATGCCCAGCAGTGGCCCCTCAGCAGGCTCCAAGACCCAGATTTCCAGTGTGAGGCTCACGCACCAAAAGGACACTCCTCCCACCCTGGGTGGTCCCCAAGACCTGTACCTTTTCCTGCAGGTTAATGTCACTGAAGCTTGTCCCCGACTCCACTCCCTCGGCAGCAAACCCAGCCTGCGGGTGACAGAAAGGCAGCAGTCAGCACGAGGGAACGGAGGCTCTGGACTAGCACATCCGTGCTGGTCAGCAGAGCTGCCAGGGCTGGACAACTGCCTTAGAACCCAGGGGGCTCTGCGGATTAGAGCCCTGGACCAGCGGGTACGAGAGCCAGGCTGAGTGCGCCCCCTGCCCGCCAGGGGCCAGCTTCTTCTTGTCAGAATGCAGCGCGGGATGAAGTGCTGGGTGGTGAGCGTGCTGCTGTGCTGGTGGAGGAACGAGCACAGATCCTGGGTTCCAGGCGAGGCTCCAGTGCGGACTGGCTGTGTGACCCTGGGCAAGTGACAAAATCGCTCAGGTCTTTCCTCGTCTGAAAGGATGATGGACAGCTTCAGAGGGTCACAGCGAGGAACCACCGAGTTAGCAGGGAAAGGGATGGCATGGTACCAGCATCTAGCAAACAAGTTACCCTTATTCTTCCGGAGAATCCCCAGGCCACAGTCTCAGTAGGAAGCCAAGTCCTGCTGTCACTTCCCACACGCCCTCCCCAGAGACACAGGGTCTCCAGGAGGATGCATACACACCTGCGGCTGGAAATCCACTGGTTCGAGACCCCGGCACTCAAACTCCACTATCGTCTTGAACTTCTCGCTGTCCTCAGCCTGCAAGGAGAGCAAGCTGAGGACCACACCCCATGGCACCTGCCCTTCCTGCTGAGTGGTCCTGACAGCCCTTCCTTCTGAGGACATGGATGCAGAGTGTGGACTATGGGCTTAGACCTCCTGGCCGGGAGGCTGGGCTCATCCTCACTTCCGGTGATCCCAAGGCTCTCTAACTATGGGACGGAGCTGAGGAAACTCTACAGGCTAGTGTGAGCACGTGAAACCACGTGTAAGGCAGCTAGTATAGTCCTCAATGCTATGCTCCAAAAATGCTATACAGAAGATGCCGAGGTGAAGCATTAACACTGCCAGACTGTTTAACAGTCTCGGGACACACAGCCACACACTTGTGCTAACCAAGCCCAGGGCAGGGGACTGACTTGAAGCCCCTGAAAGGGGGACGTGTGTGGAAGGGCAGGAAACCCAGGCCTACCTGACTCAGAGGCCTAGCCCCCAGCTACATTCCAGGCGTCACTATGAAGGCAGCCCAGGCACCACCATGTGACAGGCACCTGGGAAGTGCCAGGTTTTTGTTTGTTTCCTTCACTAGATCACATTTGATTTCTCTAATTTGCATTTCAAATCAAGACCTGATGGCGCCCTGAGCTCCGAGTGGAGCTGTCAGCCACAGGTGTCTGCTCGGTGGGAGGATGAGGCTGTCGGCTGCTGGGAGGGGCAGTTCTCTGCTCCACAGGGTCGCTAGGAGTCAGAATCGACTCGATGGCCACGCGTTTGGGTGTTTTTGAAGGATGAGTGGATACAAATAAGCAGACCCAAAGGCCATGGTCCTTCCTCTCCTTTGCTCCACACTGGGATGGACGGAGCTGTGTCCGCCCAGAGGGATGTGTTGTACATACTGACCCCTGGACCAGTGAGCATCATCCGATTTTGGAAACAGCTTTGTTCCAGTCATGAGGAAGACTTAGTATTGACAGAGACACTAAAGTGCAGATAGATGAAGCAAGAAACCGAGGCCCTATGGGAAGGAAGACATGAGGGGGCTTCAAAAGCTCTTTCATGCTTCCTCCCCCCACTATCATGACCCTAGTTCTTACAAATCCGGCTAGACCAGAGCATGTACACTGGTACAGATAAGAGCTCTCAACACATGGAATCCAGGCCAGATAAACCCCTCAGGAACAACAATGGGAGTAGCAATACCATGGGGGTAGGAGGAAGGTGGGAGGAGGAGGAAGAGGGAAAGATAGCAATGATAGATGTATAACACACACACCTCTCAACTAGGGGGATGAACAACAGAAACGTGGGTGAAGGGAGACAGCAGAGTGTAAGATATGAAAATAATAATTTATAATTTATCAAGGGGTCACGAGGGTGGAAGAGTGAGAGAAGGAGGGAAAAAAGGAGGAGCTGATACCAAGGGCTGAAGTGGAAAGAAAATGTTTTGGAAATGATGATGGCAGCATATGTACAAATGTGCTTGACACAATGGATGGATGTATGGATTGTGCTAAGAGCTGTTAAGAGGCCCCCCCCCCCAAATGATTAATATATATATATAAAAAAAGTAATGGGAAATGAAAATGGGATTTTTTTCACAAACATTTTGAAACTCCTTTTCCATATATAGGTCACATGATTGCCCAATTGCCTAGGAAGTGAAGATGGAAACAAGGACACCTTCTCCCAGAGCCAGTGCCTCTGACGTGGTGAGAAAATACACATGCCAAGTCCACTAAACAGAATACCTAACATGGACATGTCAAGGGTGGTGAGAGTCCAAGCCATGCAAAGGCTTCCCCCACCCAGCGTTTCAGAGATGACTATTAGTCCCTTGAGATGTAGACAGCTGGCTGGGTGGAGGTCCCTGATACCCCACAGCCCAGTACTTACAAGACACTGCAACCATACTCAGTCTTGTTCCTACCAAACAGTCCATCAGTGTATGGTGAACACATGCAAGCTTGAGTGAGTGAGTGAGTCAATGAATGAGTGGACGGATGGATAACCTAAGGCAGGTCCCTCTGATGCTGACAGAACTCTGGGCCGAGCTTCCTCCAGCTCAGATTGAACACCATCATGCTTGTCACACTTACGTTGTAAGACTTGATGGTGCTGCTCAAAATCTCTGAAAACACAGTAAGAGACAAAGTTGAGTCTGGCCCTTGGCTCCCCCCAGGTGCCCAGATGTAGTTCTGGGGTAGAATGCACCCCCTGTACCCTCACCCCCAACCTACAGCACCTCCATTCTGGGCCCACCCACAAGTAACGGGAGTCTGCTCTGGATCTGGCCCCGGGACACAGGGGCCAGCCAGGTAATGCTGTGCTGCCCCCAACGTACCAATAGAGTTTTCCCGGGCACACAGCTTGCACTTCTGGACCATGGAAGCACTGCCTCGGCCTCCTTTAAGTGCCACACTGTCCTGTTGAGGCACACACAGAACCTTTGCTCACATAACAGTTAGCCAGCTAAAAGGACCCTGACACTCAGGCCCACCACTCAGCATTCATGTGAAAAGACAAGAGACCCAGAGGTGAGTGACTTGCTAGGACAAGAATCCCGGGGAGGATTCTCAGTCTAGAGACTGATGGTAGGGCTTCCTTTAGACTTTGAATTGTGCCTCATATCCCATAAGATGCCTGGTGTTCCCATTGCTTCACACTAACTGCCACCCAGAGAGAGAAATGCAGGGCCCAGAGACTGGGGCTCAGTGTGTGTGCGTGATGGGGTGGGTGGGGACGCCATTACCATGAGTCGGATGTATTGCCACTTCTCTGAGACCTCAGCACAGTTTCCACATTTCATCTTGGGAGAGAAAAGAGGCATTAGTCAAACGTGGCTCCAGTGGCACAGGCCAAGACAGGTGAGACCAATGGGAGGTGGGCAGGCTTCATATCCCCTCTCCTGTCAGCCATGAAAGCTCCTCCTTACCACCAGCCCCGACAAAGACCTGGTCTGCCTTCTGGGCTTTTCATGCTGGTGTGCCCACCTTGAGTGATGGGGGGATTCCAGCTTCAGGTGGTACAGAGATAGCCTTGAGAGGCCCTCACCTACCCTGCTGCGTTAGGAATGTACTCTCTGCTCCCACAGGCTGTAAGTACTGACCACTCGGTCTTTAGTGTATTTCTCAGTCACCTTCACTAGACTGTGTTTCTTGAGACCAAAGGACACAGATTCCCCAGGTAAATGTTGGAAACTTCCCTTCAAAGTATTTGGAAGTAGAGGTGGTCAGAGGTAGTTTCCTGAAAGGCAGGCCTTTGGTGGGTTCTGAAGGTTGCTGGGATGTAGACTAGGAGGAGAGGTTCGGAGGGAGTAAAGAGCCTTAAACTGCTTTGGCAAGAGGGGAACTCTGTAGAGCATGCCACTAGGGTAGCCCGATTACCAGTGTGGGGAGAAGGAAGAGTACGGGGTTAATCCCTACATAAAATTAAACAAAGGATTTCACAATAAATAAGTCCTAGGCAAGAAATACAGAAGAGGAAGCGTTCTGTTCCGGTAAAGAGTTCACCTCAGAAATCCAGAGAGGTTGTTCTTTCCTGTCTTACAGGCTAACTATGAGTCGCAATCATTTAACTGCAGTGAGTTTGAGGTTTTGAATCAAGAAATAAAAGGTGAAATGACTTTTAAGTATTCACACGGTTCCTTTTCCAGTAACATTTTTGTTGGATGTCTACTTAAAACAAAATAAAACAACTAAAAAAATCCAAACTGACTGCTGTGGGATCAATTCTGACTCATAGCGACCCAATACAGCAAAACAGAACTACCCCTGTGGGTTTCCAAGCCTGTCAATCTTTCCTGGAGCAGAAAGCTGTATGTTTCTCCCCCAGGGCACCTGAAACACTAAATCTACTACTGACCCTCGTAGCAGCCCAAACACATAACCCACAAGCCCACAGGGCTCCCGAAGTCTGCCCCAAGATGATGAACTATGTAAGGTAGGGAACGATTTAAATGACAAGTGTTAAGACACTGTCAGTTAAGGCTTACCCAATAATCCATTAAAGATTTTAAAAAAATACTAACCAGGAGGAAAAATTATTTTGGCGGGGAAAACCGCACTTGCTTGGCCAGTTCAAGACTGATGTCAACCAGTAATCCTACAAATGTGGGGGGAAAGATGGGGCTATCTGCTCCCCTCTCACTCTCACTGCCAGAGGCGATGCTGACTGTGGCGACCACCCAGTGAGATTCGAGACTACAATGTAACTGTTTAGAGAAGTAAAGAGCCCCGTCTTTTGCCAGTCGATCTGCTGGTGCTCCTTTGGCCCACTCAAAAAACTCCAACCAAACCAGTCGCTGCCGACTCATCGGGATCCTATCGGACAGGTTAGAACTGCCCTGTGGACTTCCCAGACTGTAACGATCGAGAGTAGAAAGCCTCCTCTTTCTCTCGCGGAGGGGCTGTTGGTTTCGAACTGCTGAACTTTAGGTTCACAGCCCAACGCATAACCACTGCACCACTAAAGGCCGTATCAGTCAAAATCAAAGCGACGGCAGCGGGTGGCAGTAGGACTGCAAGCTTTCCTGGGTGGGTCGGTAGGTCGGTCGGCCGCCTACACCCCGCCCCGCATCCGGACACGCCCCCTCCTTCGCCCCAGGCCCGCCCTTTGGACACGCCCCCTCCTTCGCCCCAGGCCCGCCCTCCAGCCGCACCTTGAGGTACCACCGGAAGTCCTCGCCCACAGGCCGCAGGCCGGTGACGTTCTCCAGCGTGGCTCTGAGCTGCAGCGCGATTTTCTAGGAGAGGGAGGGCGTCAGACGCGCCAGCGCACGCCAGTCCCGCCCCAGCTCCGGCCGCCCCGCGCAGAACCCCGGCTTTCGGGCTCCTTCCCGGGCACCCCTCTCCGGCCCTGCTTCCCAGGTGCTCGCCCCTCGCCCACGCCTCCCTGCCTCGGGAGCGGTGACTTCTCACCCCCATCGTGGCCCCGTTCGGCCGGCGGCCGCTACTTTCCGGCCGTCGTGAAAGCCGTGCGTGGCCGTTGCGCCCGCGGTGCGGCCCTAGGGCGTGCGTCATACGTGCGTCTGGCGGGGCGGGGGCAGGGCCGCGTATTGCCTGGGTCCCGCGCACTTCCGCTACGGTTGCGGGCAGCTTTTCCGTTTAGGTGAGGTTAGGTCTGCAATGGCCGACTTCCAGACGTGCTGAGGCCCGCCTGGAGAGATCTTTAACACCACTAGTGGTTACTGAGCACGAGCCTGGTTTGAGGTATTCAAGCCAATCGGACAGCTCTTACCCAAACCTGCGGATCATCGGTCTCTGCTGACGCTGAAATGTTTTCCAGTACCCAGCGCAGCTTCAGGTCCGCTGGCCTTGAAGCCTCTCATCACCTAGGTTTCCTCGGCCCAAGACGTGTACATTTGGGGATGGGGCCTCCTCTGAGCCGGATCTTCCTTTCTCCTAGTCTTTGGTCTCTTTCCACGGCCCTTTCTTTGGTACTCATGACTGGGCCCTTCTCCACCTTGCCCATCTTTCTGCTTATATTTACTGAACCTTGGGCTATTTGCCCTTGACATGACAAAGAACAGCTCCTGGTAGACTAGTTATTTTTGTTTGTTTTGGGGGTTTTCTTTACGTCCTTGGGCACTGTTGGGTAAGGGTAACCCGTTAGTGGTTCAAACCCTTCAGCCCCTCCTTGGGAGAAAGATGAGACTGTCTCTTCCTGTAAAGATTTAGTCTCAGAAACCCTAGATAAGGTTATGAGTCACAATCTACTTGATGGCAGTGGGTTGATTTTTTTTAACCATTGGAAAGTACGCTGGCTTGGGAATCAAGAGCTGAGATCGCACCTGTTTAGTCCACCACCACTAACTTGACGTATTTTTGAAAGATAGTGGAGTGGGAAAAGCTGGCATATGGAGAATTGGGACGTTTTGACAGGTGTAAACAGACGACTATTCAAGAAGCTACCAGTTCCTTTCAGGTTGTTTGTTCAGCTAGCCATGTGCACTAAGACATTGAATCTGGCAAGGAAAAAAAAACCAACCTACAGATTTCCCTGCTGAACCAATTCTCAACACCATCTGCACCAATCTGGTCTGTTCGTAATTCCCCCAAATACTTGTCATTTGGCAGGGCCATGATTCTTAATGGTCTGGTAGTAACACAACAATGTAATGTAATGATCCCTCAGTATGTGATCCCACGCAATGGGCACATCACCTGTAAAACTTTTCAGGCTGGAATGCAATGCCTTTGATCCTTATGTAGCCCTGAGATGTTAAGGGAATCTCCCTGTGGTAGGTAGGGCCTACAGTATAACCTTTTACCTTATGAGAGGCAAAGAGAACCTAGCAGAGAGGGTCCTACCACCAAGAAAGAAGAGCTGGAAGTAGTGTGTCTTTAGACTGTGCTGGGAGCCTCTAGACTGGGGAAAGATGGATGCCAAGACAAATGGAGATCTCCACGGAACGCCAGGCCTACAGGTGCTAAAGACAAGGAGCAGGAGCCAACCTGAGAAGCAGCCTTCCCTGGAGCTGGCACCATGGAGTCGGAGTGTGAAAGCATGAGTTTGTTTGTTAAAAGGCATACTTTTGAAAGTTTTTAAATGCTTGTAAAGTTAAAGCATTTGTTATAGCAGTACTAGATAACTAAAACACCTGCATTTTATCATGTGGTTATAATGCACTAAACCAGAAACTTCCCTTCATGAAACAGCTATGTATGTCGAAAAGACTAAAATATCACAGCACTTCACATCTAAAAACATAATAGCAAACATCCAGTGTGTATACTTTCCTACTGCTGCCCATGTCGTAGTTCAAGTTGTGACCAATCATGTGCAAACACTGCATTCTTTAATGGCTTTCCTCAGCTATGAGTCCCACTTCTGCAGTGCATCTGTTGACACTGTCCTCTATCACTCATTGTATTCTCGGTGGTTTAAAAACAAAAACCGAGTTTCTCTATTCTCTTACTGCCTGTAAATTGGTAATTAAATTTTGGGCAATACTTCACTTAGGGTGATGGTGTTTTAAAAATTGAGACGAGTTCATGTGGGCCTTCAAATAACAATTGTTCAAGTCTTTATAAAATAGTAAAAATGGAATTTTATCACATATTTATTACACAATCACTTATAACTTTATAAAAAATACACAAAAATGTCCTGATTATGGGAATTTAAAAAAAACACTACCCCAATTCCACCCCCACCCCCCACCCCACCCCACCACCAAGTTCCACACCAATGGTCCATCTAGATTGGCTTAATTTTGAAGTGTAATCCAATAAGACTGAAGACCAAACACTTCAGGTCCTGGACAAGATAATAAAATACTCGTAAGCCTTCTGGATCCCTAAAACACAAGAAGAAGAATGTTCAAAACAGCTGTGCAAAGCTTCAGAAAATATAATTTAACAACCATGATTACTAATATACCAAGATGCTCACCATAAAGGTATTTACAGCATTAAAACTTTGAAAACAATGTTCAAAAAGAAGTTAAATAAAATAAAATGGAATAAAATGAGACCATTTAAGCATTTTTTTTTTAATGTGGAAATGCTTGTATTAAGTGAAAATAAAAGAAGAAAAGCCGGAGGTTGTCAAATTCTAAGATCCTTTTGTAGTAGAGTCATGTCTCAACTGTGTCATTTGTTCCCATTGACATAACATGAATTTAAGAATTTAGGCTAGGGTGGGGAGGAGCAAAAAAAAAAAGAATTTAGACTAAACAGTGGAGTTTCACCAAAGTCAAGAGGACTTTGAAGACGCAGAGTCTGACGAGCAACATCTGAAAGCTGCTCAGCTGGGTGACTGGCGTTTCTGTTGAGCACTGGCCAGCCGGGCTCTTACCCTCCCTGGCTGTTCTTGTTACTCTGCGTTTACATCACTGAGATGCTGTCAGCAGTGATCCATCAAAAATCCAAAGCCCCTGGAGATATTTTGGAGTTCTTCTAGGGAGGAGGACAAAGCTGTCCACCTCTGCCCTGCACGTCTCAGTTTGGCTAAGGGTTTCCCATCTGCCCCAGAAGAGAGAGAGCTGGATTTACAGATCATGCATACTTACTTTGACTGATTAACATCAATAAGGGAACCAATTTTTGAGGTGGTGAATGAAATGTGTTCATCTCCAATGACGATTTCAAGCTCCTAGAAATGGTTAAAAGAATTATGTTACATGGAATCAGAGTTTTCGTCTAGCACACAGGAGAAGCGTTTACCATCGGTCAAAACACACACTCTACTACACATGGCCACACGTATGGTTTGGACAGGACTGTCTGCAAATTACCACAGGATTTACATATGTGGGTTACAGTGAACAAGAAAAACCTCTGGACCTAGGGCTGGATCCCAGCATTGCCACTTATCAGGTATATGACCCATGTCTCAATTTTTATTTAGTTAAGAGCCATGAACTTTCCAAAAGCTAGCTAAGGGGGGCCAATTGTGTGCTGTTGAAAAAAACCCTTCTCCTGTGTGCTTTAGAGTACTGAAGAGTTAGGATGTTACTTTGAGGACTAAGGTGCGCCCGATCCAAGATATGGTATTCTCCATTGTATCATATGTATGTGAAAGTTGGACATTGAATAAGGAAGACTAAGAAAGAATAGATGCATTTGAATTGTGGTGCTGGAGAAGACTACTGAAAGTACCACAGACTGCTGAAAGGACAAACAGAACTGTATTGGAAGAAGTAAGGCCAGGGTGCTCCTTGGAGGCAAGGATGGGAAGACCTCATTTTACATGCTATGGACATACTGTCAGGAGAGCCCAGTCCCTGGAGAAGGACATCATATTTGGAAAAACGGAGGGGCGGCGAAAAAGGGGAAGGCCCTCAATGAGAATGGATGACACAGTAGCTGTATCAATGGGTTCAGGCACAGAACAACTGTGAGGATGGTGCAGTGTTTCGTTCAGTTGTGTACAGGGTCACTATGGGTCAAAGCGGATTCTATGGCACCTGACAACAACAACACCACCATTGTGCAACCCTGGGATTGTTCTGCGCTTGGGAAAGATCACTAAAACCAAACAAAAATCCCTGCCTTTACAACTTACATTCAAGTCCATTCTACTTTTCTCCACCCTTTTCCTACTTCTTTTTCAATTTTGAAAAATCTGAACAGAAAATGGAAAAAAGGAGTCCAGATTTAAAATGTGAATCTTTTGTCTTGCTTACACCTGGTTTTAAGGCAATAAAGCATTACAGATTCAAAGTTGAGGTTTACCTCCTGTTCTGTTCTTCCTCCCTTCCCAGTGGTAACTGGAGTAAAATTTTTTAACTCATATTTTCAGAGCAGTGGTAATATGTTATATAGATTTATGTTTTCAAGTACAGCATTTCCTTATGGAAGCTGACTTCAGTTTCCCATTTTTGTTAACTATAAACAACGTGACAATGTGTATCCCCTTTTACATATGTGAAAATTTCTCTACAAAAATTCCTGAAAGTGAGATACAGGCATTTTTCATTCTGCCAGATACTATCAAATTGCTCCCTAAAGTGGCTGTACCAATTTCATCCCTATTAGTAGCACAGCCCCCCCACCCCCTTCTCAAATCCTTTCGAGCAGTTGGCATGTTTTGTCACTCTGATAGGCCTGACATAACACCAGTGCATTTTTGTCAGTGCTACGAGTCTGAAACGGTAGCTTCAATGTCATATGCAGAGCTGCAAGTTCACCTTCTATTTGCACCCCTAGAGGGGACTTCCTGAACCACTCACCTGCCGGCCAACTCGGTCAGGAGGAGGCCACAAAGCATCATCCTCCTTGGTAATTTCACTGTCGTCAATTATTCTCTTTAGTTCTTCCATCACACTTTTATGTACATAAGCCTAAACGCAAGTAAAGAAGCAGAATTTAAATAGTACCCCTAAGAAGTCTGCTGATTCAGAGATGACTCAATTCACACCTGAATTCAAAATGCAAACTCTGGGTATTCATTACATCATGCTTTATGCTTTATACTCTATAAAGCTGAGGCCTTGCATACTAACCTACGTTAAAAAAAAAAATTAGGATGCTGATGTGTGGGTAAACCATGTTACTACTAATAAAATTGTGTAAACATACTGAGTGTAAGAACGCCACAAATGCGATAAAGTGGTTTGAAAGAGTAACTCTGATAAACTGTAGTGGAAATCAAGTCAACAGAAGACATGAGAAAGACAAGCACAGGTTTGCGTTCACTGAGAAAGTCACTCTTATTAGTAGGGGTGACTTGGAACAAGCCCCTTAGCATCGGAGCCTTCAATTTCTTAACGGTAAAGATATCCACCACCTGTCAGTTTGTCACACTGTGGTGACTTTCATGTTACCACCTGGAGGCTACGCCAACAGCATTTCAAATACCAGCAGGTCACCCATGAATATGTTTTAGTAGAGCTTCCATATTGAGCCACTAGGAAGAAAGGAGTGGTGATTCACTTCTAAAAATTAGCCAAGAAAAATCTGCAGATGACAACAGAATATTTTCCAACACACATGCTTTAAACATGTCACCAGGGGGATCAACTGCTAGAGCAGGACGTCATGTTCGGTGATGAGGATGGAGGGGCACAATAGCCAAGACCCGAGCATCGTGCGGTAATGTAGGGGCTGGTAACGTTTTGTCCTGTTGCACGTAAAGTCGCCACGAGTTGGAGTCAACTTGACAGCAGTTCGCTAACAAGGGGGGAAAATACCATGCAGCACGTGGCCGACAAAAAAAGTTCAATATAATCATGGAGCGGGGCTCCAAAATGTTCATGGAAAAATTTCCGTTATGTTTTAGTTTCATTTCCTACAAGCTTTTTGAAGCACCCTTGTATATGTAAATCGGGAGTCCTCGTGGCATATTGGTTCCTGTTGGTCTGCAACCTGCAAGATCAGGAGTTCAAAACCACCAGCCACTCAGTCAGAGAAAGATGGGGCTTCCTACTCCCATAAACAGTTCCAGTCTTGGAATCTCAGAGGGGCAGTGCTACCCTGTCCTACAGGGTTGCTATGCATTGGCGTCGACTCGATGGCAGTGAGTTTTGTTGTGTGTGTAGAAAGTACCTATTGCGAGGCCTGCAGCTAACATGCACTCAATGA